AAGAAGTGATGTGGTGGAGGCTGACTCCATACACAGTTTCAAGTGTAGATATGATAGAGACCCAATAGGCTCAGGAATCTGTACATCTATTGATTAACGGTTGAGAGGCGGGACCAAAGAGCCAGAGCTCAACCCCCGCAAGCACAACTAGGTGGTACAACTAGGTGAGTACACACACACACACACACACACACACACACACACAACACACACACACACACACAACACACACACACACACACACACACACACACACACACACACACACACCACACACACACAACACACACACACACACACACACACACACACACCACACACCCACCCACCACACACACACACACACACACACACACACAACACCACACACACACACACACACACACACACGAAACTTAAATATCCGTCATACAAACGCCTCGTTCAGCTTCACCCGCACGCAACCGCCCGATCAGTGGAGGTCATTAAAATTTCGGTACAAAAATTGCTGACCCAAAACCAAAGATGCAATTTCAGAGGTGCTCGGTCGATTTCTGGCGAATTTTCCCTCCTTTGTGTTTTTTTTTTTTAGCAAACTTTCCCCTTCCCCCTCTCGCCTGACGTCCGAAATTTGGACATACGGAACATTTTCTCATATTTTGCTGCAGCTTCTTGAGACATTGACGCGTATTTCAGAACCCTGAGGTCTGAAACAGTTTGGATGTCTCTTCTTGAGTTTATTAAGAGTTTTCTGTGCACTAAACTTTGTGGGGAGTTATTTTTGTCTAACAAAGACAACTTCTAACTACTGTTGAAATGGAGCGTCGGAGAATGTTGGAAATAGTCAAAGGATTTGTAAGGTTTTAGTTGTCGGTTATCATCGTGGTCCGTGGCCATCTTTGTACCAACACACCCACCCACTTTTACCCACCAGCACCCACCTACACCCACCAGCACCTACCAGGGCCCACCAGCACCTACCAGGGCCCACCTACACCCACCAGCACCCCACCTACACCCACCAGCACCTACAGGGCCCACCTACACCCACCAGCACCCACCTACACCAACCAGCACCTACCAGGGCCCACCTACACCCACCAGCACCTACCAGGGCCCACCAGCACCTACCAGGGCCCACCTACACCCACCAGCACCCACCTACACCCACCAGCACCTACCAGCACCCATCTACACCCTCCTGCACCTACCAGCACCCATCTACACCCTCCTACACCTACCAGCACCCACCTACACCCACCTACTTCCACTTACACCTACCAGCACCCACCTACACCCACCAACCCCCATCTACAGCTACCAGCACCCACCAGCACCCACCAGCACCCACCAGCACCTACCAGCACCTACCAGCACAAACACAATACAATACGGCCAGGCAGTATGATGAATTGATGGACCAAATTTGTTCAATCGAGTTGCTTACGAGTGAAGTTTGAGGCGAGTGGCCCGTTGAGTGAAGTAGGAGAAAGAGAGAGAGAGAGAGAGAGAGAGAGAGAGAGAGAGAGAGAGAGAGAGAGAGAGAGAGAGAGCAGAGAGAGAGGAGAGGAGAGGTGGAAAGAAAGATCCGTTCTTCGAGTCATATGGCTCCGTAGGCCTCACACTTCATTATGTGTGTGTCAGTTCATTCTCCTCCTCTCTCTCTCTCTCTCTCTCTCTCTCTCTCTCTCTCTCTCTCTCTCTCTCTCTCTCTCTCTCTCTCTCTCTCTCTCTCTCTCTCCTCAGTGTATCCAGGCCGTTCTCTTCACTTCCTACAACGTACAAAATCCACCGTCCTAACCTAACCAGAAACGCACCAAACCCAAGCCACCTACCTAACCTAACGATATATAAACAACGTGGATTTTTGTGAGGCGTTACTTTTGATAGCACGTTGCGTTTGGTACGTTGGTTGCCATAACGTGGTGAAACGTGGTACGAGGGGGAGAGAGGACGTGTTGTGGACCTTAGTTCGAGGTCCGACGGACGTGAAGACACCGTACTCTTTCCGTAGTGGAAATGACTTGTTGTTAAACCCAGTATTATATCATCTTTGTGCACTGAGCTTGGCATGAGACGATGGTCTTTAGTGAACCATCATTGATGGTCATGATGGTCTTCCCCGCATGTTGTATAGCCACTTCAAGACTCTTCCTGTAGTCTGTCTCAGGCTGGTGGACTTCCCTCTATATTTCAGGTGCATCAGTACAGTCATTTTTTGGCTTAATATTTTCTGTTTACCGTTTTGGAACGATAATCTTTTTGTATTTTCTGGTCCGTGGTTGACTTCTCGACGGATAAGTATTTTGCTGTGCCTCTTATTACTTAAGTATTTCTTTGTCCCTCTCAACAGACGGTATTTTATTAATGGATATTTTCAACGTTTCCTCAACAGTTCACAGCTGAAAATCGGATCCAGGTTTAACTTCGCTAATATTTTGAGACATCTGTTGATCGCTCTCAGCTCCGTAGTTTGGGATCAGTGTGTTCTGGGCAGGAAGCCTCGCGTTCACTGTTCACCAGACAGTGACGGCCTGGTCACTGCAGCCTTGTGTTCCTCTGGCAACGCTCAGGTGGAGGATGGTCGGGGGTAGGGCATGAGGCCATAGAATAATTTTTTTTGAGATGGAGTATTCCATCTGATCTGTGAAGCTGCCTTTGATCATGTAAAGATGCCCTCTACTCCATCAATTGAAGAGGAGAGAGACAGAGAGAGAGAAAGTGAGAGGGAGAGAGAGAGAGAGGGAGAGAGAGAGAGAGAGAGAGAGAGAAAGTGAGAGAGAGAGAGAGAGAGAGAGAGAGAGAGAGGAGAGAGAGAGAGAGAGAGAGAGAGAGAGAGAGAGAGGAGAGAGAGAGAGAGAGAGAGAGAGAGAGAGAGAGAGAGAGAGAGAGAGAGAGAGAGAGAGAGAGTGAGAGAGAGAGAGGAGGAAGCAGAAACATAGCAAGATAGCACACTAAAACAGGAAGATAGTCTCCAATTCTCTTATCACACATTGGGCAGTCCGGCGATGGCGGTATTTTCCCTTTCAGTGGACGCAAGTTGATTCAAGTTGACACACACACACACACACACACACACACACACACACACACACACACACACACACACACACACACACACACACACACACACACACTCCATTCGTGTTAAAAGAAGTAGCTACAGCCTTGAGTAGACTACTGACATACGCTTCACTTGAAACAACAATGCTGCCTAAAGTTTGGAAAAGAGCGAGTGTGTAGCAGCAATATACCAGAAGGGAAACAGACAGGAACTGCTGAAGTACAGACCAGTCTCACTGCCTAAGTTCCCTTGCAAAGTACTAGAGAAACTGATCAGAAAAAGGGGCTCTTGTACCACCAAGAATCGATGACCTTCGTCTTGAAACTCAAATATGGAGTCAGCAGCAAAGAAATCCTGCCTAACAAGCTTGAGATTTATGACAAGATGACGGCGATGAAGCAGGAGAAAGATGGGCGGGGTAGACTGCATATTTCTGGACTGCCAGAAGGTGTCTTCAGTGTCCTTCGTAAATGACTCCTGCGTGTACACGAGAAAAATAGTGTGTGTCATTAAAAAGGACAAGGAATATTCCCCTTTTTTTCAGACAGTCAAAGTGAGAGAGGGTAATGACAGGTGCCATAAAGATTGGGTAATATTGGTTAGCATCTTCCTTCATGACATGAAACATTCATGTCAACGACCTGAGAAAATTGGCAACATCATATCAAAGTGTGCAGACAGTGCCACGTTGGGGAGGCACTTCAAGCCGAGCAGGACTACAAGATGACCTAGTGCTCCCCCCTAGACAGGCTCCTCAAGTGATATGATCAATATGTACTGGACTTGAACTAATGTAAGGTTATTTTGACATACGAGTAAGAAAGCCCGAGACTGCAATTGATGACGAGGAAAATGTCTTGGTGAATTATGAGAGAGCAGCGAGAGCCCAGAGAAGCTCCAGTCCCAAACCGGTTTCATTAGGCACATAATGTTACTAGAACATATGCGACGATGGCTGATATGATCAGCCTCCAGATAAAAACATGCGGGAACATAGAGGAAGAAACTTTGTGTCACAACCAACGTGAGACTTATACTCGAGTATGCAGCACTAGTATGAATAGGCCTTCTGCAGTTACCTTTATTCTTTATAGGCCTTCTGCAGTTACCTTTATTCTTTATAGGCCTTCTGCAGTTACCTTTATTCTTTATAGGCCTTCTGCAGTTACCTTTATTCTTATGTTCTATTTATGTTCTTATGGAACTTTGACAAGGCTGGTCCCGGAAGTAAGTGAGCTGGGATATGTCCCAGAAAGGAAACTGCTGGCAAATGGGTCAGAATTAAGAGCTGGAAGTCGACGAGCAATTCAGATGCCTGAGATGTGTGTGTGTGTTTGCTCAAAGAGGCACTTGTGCCATTGAAGTTGAGAGTCGTCGGTCGGGGGGAAGGAAATTGGCTGATACGGCGAAAGCCTTGTTTAAGATAGACAAAATAGGAATCAATTCGTCCAGAGGCCTACGTGAAGGAGTGGTGGTGGTGGCGACTCGGGTGCATGACACCCAGACATAGACACACAGTATATGTAGCGTCAGCACACACACAGTATATGTAGCGTCAGCACACACACACACAGTATATGTAGCGTCAGCACACACACACAGTATATGTAGCGTCAGCACACACACACAGTATATGTAGCGTCAGCACACACACACAGTATATGTAGCGTCAGCACACACACAGTATATGTAGCGTCAGCACACACACACACAGTATATGTAGCGTCAGCACACACACACAGTATATGTAGCGTCAGCACACACACACACAGTATATGTAGCGTCAGCACACACACACAGTATATGTAGCGTCAGCACACACACACAGCAAGGACTGGGAAGATCACTGAGAACCCTGGAGCTCAGAGGTCACTGAATATCAAACTTGACGAGAGACAAGTGAGACGGTTTGGTCATGATGAACTAAAGCATCATAGAAGGCGAGTGAGAACTGTATTCAGTCTTCAAAACTTAATTTGAGTGTAGGAGTTAAGGAAGGTCTGGAAGAAGGTGGGCGAGGCAGGAGGAGACGAGGAAGGTCTGGAAGAAGGTGGGCGAGGCAGGAGGAGACGAGGAAGGTCTGGAAGAAGGTGGGCGAGGCAGGAGGAGACGAGGAAGGCCTGGAAGAAGGTGGGCGAGGCAGGAGGAGACGAGGAAGGTCTGGAAGATGGTGGGCGAGGCAGGAGGAGACGAGGAAGGTCTGGAAGAAGGTGGGCGAGGCAGGAGGAGACGAGGAAGGTCTGGAAGATGTTGGGCGAGGTAGGAGGAGACGAGGAAGGTCTGGAAGATGGTGGACGAGGCAGGAGGGGACGAGGAAGGCCTGGAAGATGTTGGGCGAGGTAGGAGGAGACGAGGAAGGTCTGGAAGATGGGGACGAGGCAGGAGGGGACGAGGAAAGTGTGGAAGATGGTGGACGAGGCAGGAGGAGACGAGGAAGGTCTGGAAGATGTTGGGCGAGGTAGGAGGAGACGAGGAAGGTCTGGAAGATGGTGGACGAGGCAGGAGGGGACGAGGAAGGCCTGGAAGAAGGTGGGCGAGGTAGGAGGAGACGAGGAAGGTCTGGAAGATGGTGGACGAGGCAGGAGGAGACGAGGAAGGTCTGGAAGAAGGTGAGCGGGGCAGGAGGAGACGAGGAAGGTCCGGAAGATGGTGGGCGAGGCAGGAGGAGACGAGGAAGGCCTGGAAGGTGGTAGGCGAGGCAACAGGAGACGAGGAAGGTCTGGAAGAAGGTGGGCGAGGCAGGAGGAGATGAGGAGGTCTGGAAGATGGTGGGCGGACACAGTGAGTGCATAATGAGGTGTGAGTGAGTGATGAGGAGGCAGGATGGAGGCGGGTTACAAGAGCTTGAGCATGTCTTTGTACTTACCATATACAGCCAATTTCCCCGTTGGAACACCTTGTATTGGTCTTACGAAGACACGGGTTCGATGCCCACGAAGGACAGAGGCGTTCGGGCGCCTTCCTGTCCACCTGATGCTTCTGTTCACCTGTCAGAAAATAGGTCCCCTGAAGCCAGCCAACTGTTGTGGGTTCTTAGGCGCACCTCGAGAATGGGAAACTGTAATTGTGGTCGGCGGTTCGAGGCTCTTGAGGTTCCAGATGTGTATATAAATATATATATATATATATATATATATATATATATATATAATATATATATATATATATATATATATATATATATATATATATATATATATATATATATAATATATAAAGGGATACCCTCCCTTTACTATAATTATCACCGTCTCCCTCCAACCTGATGCTTTCCGTTCCAAAGAAAGTGGGAAACGAGATAAAGAAAACGTTAAGTGTGACAAACTCCAAACGTAATGAGAGTCCTCGCGTCAAGTGACCCTCCCCCCCCCCCCCTTCACACAGGTGAAAAGGCGGGGCCGAGAGCTTAAGCCCGATCCCAGCATACACTTCAAGGTTAGGGCACCTAAGTGAGCCGACACACAGGTCTAACATTACACAGTTATCTATTTAGATAAGTGAATAAATCAGACACATTAGTTCGATTGATGAATAAATCGAACACATAAGATGAATAAATCGAACATATAAGATGAATAAATCGAACACTTAAAATGAATAAATCGAACACATAAGATGAATAAATCGAACACTTAAAATGAATAAATCGAACACATAAAATGAATAAATCGAACACATAAAATGAATAAATCGAACACATAAAATGAATAAATCGAACACATAAGATGAATAAATCGAACACATAAGATGAATAAATCGAACATATAAGATGAATAAATCGAACACTTAAAATGAATAAATCGAACACATAAGATGAATAAATCGAACACATAAAATGAATAAATCGAACATATAAGATGAATAAATCGAACATATAAGATGAATAAATCGAACACATAAGATGAATAAATCGAACACATAAAATGAATAAATCGAACACATAAGATGAATAAATCGAACACATATGATTGATAACTGAATAAATCGAAGACATTAAGTTTCATAGAAATATTAATGAACACAAATTTATACACATGTAGACTAATGGAAATAAAATTAGCAAAGTAAATATTTCGATTGATAAATTGACAGATCAGTACATAAATATAAATAGATAAATAAAGAAAAATAGACAGATAAATAGACCGGTATATGGACAGATAAGATGGTTTTAAAGAAAGTGCCCAGTCCCCTCTGGGGGTCGAACCCCCGCGTCGGAGTTCGACAACAACTTGCTGAACAATACAGAAATCTTCGGGCCTTAAATTGAATTAATTCTCTGAGAAATGATCAATGAGGCACCAATGCAGAGGTAAGAATCCTTCAGAAATGAGAGGTGGATCTTCCTCACCATTGTGAGGAATTCCTCATTCTCACTATTATGGAATGCCAGCACCATGGAGCGTGCCATAAATGGTGCCACGTATTAGATGGGGCTTTCTGGGCCTTCCTTGCCTGCCACCGAGTGCCAAGGACGAAGTGTGTGTGTGTGTGTGTGTGTGTGTGAGTGTGTGTGTGTGTGTGTGTGTGTGTGTGTGTGTGTGTGTGTGGGTGTGTGTGTGTGGTGTGTGTGTGTGTGGTGTGTGTACTCACCTATTTGTGCTTGCGGGGATTGAGCTTTGGCTCTTTGGTCCCGCCTCTCAACTGTCAATCAACTGGTGTACAGATTCCTGAGCCTACTGGGCTCTATCATATCTACATTTGAAACTGTGTATGGAGTCAACCTCCACCACATCACTGCCTAATGTATTCCATTTACTAACTACTTTTATACTGAACAAATTCTTTCTAATGTGTCTGTGGCTCATCTGGGTACTAAGTTTCTACCTGTGACCTCTTGTTCGTGTCCCACTCGTGCTGAAGAGATTTGTCCACCCAGTCAATTCCCCTGATAATTTTGTAGGTGGTTATCATGTCTCCCCTTACTCTTCTGTTTTCCAGGGATGTGAGGTTCAGCTCCTTCAGCCTTTCCTCGTAGCTCATACCTCTCAGTTCCGGGACAAGTCTGGTGGCATACCGCTGAATCTACTCTAACTTTGTCTTGTGTTTAACTAGATATGGACTCCAGGCAGGAGCTGCATATTCCAGGATTGGTCTTACATAATTGGTATACAGGGTCCTGAACGATTCCTTACATAAGTTTCTAAAGGCAGTTCTTATGATGGCCAACCTAGCAAATGCCGCTGATGATATCCTTTTCATGTGGGCCTCTGGGGACAGGTTCGGTGTGTGTGTGTGTGTGTGTGTGTGTGTGTGTGTGTGTGTGTGTGTGTGTGTGTGTGTGTGTGTGTGTGTGTGTGTGTGTGTGTGTTTTAATAACACATACGCACGACCATAACACACGATAAATTTATTGGTGATTTTGAAGGCAGCCGGGCCTAGGAGCTAAATCTCGACTCTACAGTAACTGGGCAGGACCGGGGGGGAAAGGAGGCCTTTGATATGCCTAACCAGCTTCGTGTCCTCGACTAAGGAGAGCCACAAGGTGAACCATATTTATCACCTGCGACCACCAAATCAACAATCAACTTGCTTCAGGAATTTGGCACCAGTATTTGCATTCGGTAATTAGCTCTTGATCAACACGACTCTGACACGTTTTGACCAATGTCAGCAGTCCTGTACAACAGAGACTGTTGACAAAACAAACCAACGGCTCCAGGCAACGGACGCGGGTATGTACCCTTGCCAACGTTTTTAACGGTCTGGAATTCCATTGGTCGGCTCGCTCGCCTTCTCTTGCGCCATTAGCCAATCATCGCCTTGCGTGCGTGAATGTGAAGGGCGCCAAGCAACACTGAACTTGCATTCGAAACCTTCTATTAATAGCAACCAATCAGCGTCTTGCTTACAAATGAAAACATTTGATGAGCCTATCAGGTTCGGGTTAAGATTTCGAGCCTCCTATTATAACCTCGTCGGCTTCTACCTGACCGAAACATTGTAGCCTGCAATCAATCAATCAGTGCCAGCCTTACATACGAAACCTAATTGAGTATTATTAACCTATCAGCGGCTATCTTACATATTAGAACATCTTACTATCTACCAATCGGCGCGTTTCTTGCATGCCACAACTGCTCGCCAGACTCACACGCCAAAGCCACACACTATCCACCAATCATCCGTGGGCTTACACTCCCTCCCACCTCCGTCTAATCACCAGGTAGGAGACAAACACATGGATCAGGCCACAATCACCGCGGTGCGCACGTCTGCCCTCACCACGCTGAAGGAGACCGATGCTCCACCGGACGGACGCTCGCTCTGTGCTATAGTGTGTGTGTTCCAACTGGCTGACTTCTCCACACAATGGGAAGAGTGTTTGACTCGTGTGTGTGTGTGTGTGTGTGTGTGTGTGTGTGTGTGTGTGTGTGTGTGTGTGTGTGTGTATGTGTGTGTGTGTGTGTGTGTGTGTGTGTGTGTGTGTGTGTGTGTGTGTGTGTGTGTGTGTGTGTACTCACCGAGTTGTGTTCACCTAGGTGTGCTTGCGGGAGTTGAGCTCTGGCTCTTTGGTCACGCCTCTCACTTGTCAATCAACTGGTGTACAGATTCCTGAGCCTACTGGGCTCTATTAAATCTACATTACAAGCTGTGTATGGAGTCAGCCTCCACCACATCACTGCCTAATACATTCCATTTGTTAACTATTCTGACACTGAAAAAAATATGTTTAATGTCTTCTGTGACTTATTTGGTTACGAAGCTTCCACCTGTGTCCCCTTGTTCCTGTTCCTCCCGTGCTAAATAGTTTGTCTTTGTCTACTATGTCAATTCCCCTGAGAATTTTGTAGGTAGTTATCATGTCTCCTCTTACACTTCTCTCTTCCAGGGACGTGAGGGTTAGCTCCCGTTGTCTTTCCTGGTAACTCATACTCATCTCTGGGACTAGTCTAGTGGCATACCTCTGAATATTCTCTAACGTTGTCTTGTGTTTAACTAGGTATGGGCTCCAGGCTGGAGCTGCATCCTCCAGGATTGGTCTGACATAAGTAGTATACAGAGTCCTGAGCGATTCCTTACATAGGTTTCTGAAGGCAGTTCTATGTTGACCAATCAAGCATATGCCGCTGATGATATCCTTTTGATGTGGGCCTCTGGGGACAGATTCGGTGTGATATCAACCCTCAGATCTTTCTCTCTATTTGACTCTTGTATGATTTCACCTCCCAGATGGTACCTTGTGTTCAGCCTTCTGCTCCCTTCGCCTAATTTCATTACTTTACACTTTCCTGAGTTAAACTTTAGTAGCCATTTTCTAGACCAATCCTTCAGTTTGTCTAGGTCGTGCTGCAGTTTCTGTTCTTCCCTTTTCTCAGTTTCATCACTTGTTCCTTCATTGCTGTTTTCCTCCTGATGAGGATGTAGAGCAGCTTTGGTTGGGTCTTGGCTTTACTCGCTATGTCATTTTCATACTGTCTCTGCTTCTCTCCTCACTCTGAGGTACTCATTTCTGGCCCTCTGGTATCTCTCCCTGCTCTCTGGTGTTCTGTTATTCATGTTTCTCCATGTTCTTGTACTCAATTGCTTCACTACCGTACATTCTTGACTGAACCATGGCTTCTTCAGCTGCTTTTCATTTTTCTCCTTTTGGGCCAGGATAAACCTGTCTGCAGCTTCCTGGCACTTCTGGGTAACATAATCCATCATATCCTGTACAGTCTTTTCTATGAGTTCTGTTTCCTATTGGATTCCCATTAGGAAGTTTCTCATCTCGTCATATTTTCCTCTTCGGTAATTCAGACTCTTCCTTTTCAATCCCATTCTTGGATAAGTTATCCCTACATCTAC